CCAGCCCATTTTTAAAATTATGAGATAGGGTCTTGCTAAGTTGCTGAAGTTGGCCTCAAACTTGTGATTCTCCTGCCTTAGCCTCCCATGTCCCTGCCAACATGCTTGGATCCAGTTTATAACCTTTACAGATTCAAGTTCTTACTGAAATTCTTTTTCTTATCCTGTATATTCTCCAATATGTAAATCTAAGTTATTTTACAAACCTTGTCTGATAAATTAAATAACTGATTCTCCCAAAAGTTTGCTTAATTGACTTCTTTTTTTGTTTTATTGTTGTTTTCTTTCCCTTTTGGTTTTTGGCTAATTCTCTCACTTGTCTAGTATTATTATTGTTTTTTTTTAATTGAGGGCAATTTTGTATATAAAAAATTAAAGAAATCAGAGATTCTGAATGTCATTATGTTCCTCCAGAGATGGTCCACTCTTGCTGGCACCAAAATTAAAGATTTCAATCACCTTAATTCTATTTTGGAATAACCTAATTTGAATTTATATCTCTGTGAGGATGGAATTGCTTCAGTTAGTTTTTTATTCAAAGATCTTATATGAAAGCTTTGATTAGTTATAAGGGCTACTCTTCTTCTGCAGATGCTAAATTATGAATTTTGTTTCCTAGTCCTATAAGACTATCACAAGCTTTGCTCCATTTTTATAATTCTTTGCATATCCTTTCAGCCTGTTGTTTTCACATTCGCAAATAATTTTTTAGGCATTTTAAATTTTATTTTTAATTAACATAGTAATTATACATATTTATGGGATACAGGGTGATTTTTTAAAAATAAATGACAGCAGGATGCATTAAATTCATATTACACATATACAGCACATTTTAAAATATATTTATCTTTWAGTTATAGTTAGACACAATATCTTAATTTTATTTATTTATTTTTATGTGGTGCTGAGGATCGAACGCAGGGCCTTGCACATGCTAGGTGAGCACTCTACCACTGAGCCACAACCCCAGCCTGAGAGCACAATTTTTTATACCTCTGATTATACAACATACATAAAGTATGTTCACACCAATTCACGTCTTCATACATGTACTTTGGATAATGATGTCCATCACATTCCACCATCATTGTTAACCCCCTGTTCCCTCTCTTCCCCTCCCACCCCTCTGCCCTATCTAGAAAATTCAACTCAAAGTGGATCAAGTACCTAGGAATTAAATCAGAGATTCTGCATCTAATAGGAGAAAAAGCAGGCCCTAACCTTCATCATGTCGGGTTAGGCCCAACTTCCTTAATAAGACATCTATAGTACAAGAATTAAAAGTAAGAATCAATAAATGGGATGGATTCAAACGAAAATTTTCTTCTCAGCAAAAAGAAAGAAAGAAAGAGGGAAAGAAAGAAAGAAAGAAAGAAAGAAAGAAAGAAAGAAAGAAAGAAAGAAAGAAAGAAAGAAAATCTGTGAGGTGAATAGAAAGCCTACATCTTGGAAGCAAATTTTATCCCTCACACATTAATCTCTAGGGTATGTAAAGAATTCAAAAAGCTAAATATATAAAAAAAAAAAACCCAATCAATATATGGGCCAAGGACTTGAGCAAACATTTCTCAGAAAAGTATATACAATCAATTAACAAATATATGAAAAAATGTTCATCATCACTAGCAATAAGAGAAATACAAATCAAAACTACTCTAAGATTTCATCTTACTCCTGTCAGAATGGCAGCTATTACGAAGACAAACAACAATAAGTGTTGTCGAGGATGTGGGGAAAAAGGTACACTCATACATTGCTGGTGGGACTGCAAATTGGTGCAGCCAATTTGGAAAGAAGTATGGAGATTCCTTGGAAAACTGGGAACAGAACCACCATTTGACCCAGCTAACCCTCTCCTCAGTCTAGATCCAAAGGACTTAAAAACAGCATACTACAGGGACACAGCCACATCAATGTTTATAGCAGCACAATTCACAATAGCTAAACTGTGGCACCAACCTAGATGCCCTTAGGTAGATGAATGGATAAAAAAAGTGACATATATACACAATGGAATATTACTCAGCAWTAAAAGAGAATAAAATCATGGCATTTGTAAGTAAATGGATGGAGTTGGAGAAGATAATGCTATGTGAAGTTAGCCAATATCCCCAAAAACAAATGCTGAATGTTTTCTCTGATATAACGTGACTGACACATTAGCAAATACTTAAAGAGGAAAAGTGACACTGTCAGGTTCACCTCTGCAGTCTTCATTTGTTCTCTCCAAGAGCTTAGCCCCTCAAATCCTTATTGCTTAGTAATCGCCTGATGTTTTTGAGTGAATTACTATTTGGATTTTATCTAGTTCTTCTTTTTATTTATTCTATTCTTCTTCACAGCATCCATTTTATTTTACTAACAGTTTTTCTAGTTATTTAGCAGAAGGTTCCTGATAAATCTAAACTTACATGACCAGACCTTTCCATATGCATTTTAGAAACAATTTTTCAAGTTTGATTGAAAATAGTAACATTTTTATTAAAGTGTTATTGAGTCTATATCTTTGAGAAGTGACAACTTTATAATATTACAACTTCCTGGGGTTGGGGTTATGGCTCTTGTAGCATGTGCAAGGTCCTGGGTTCGATCCTCAGCACCACATAAAAATAAATAAATAAAATAAGGGTATTGTGTACAACTATAACTTAAAAATATATATGTATATTTTTTAAAAAAACTTCCTATACATGAACATGATATGTCTTCTTTTGGGTCATCTTCAAAGTTTTTCCATTTTTAATGTTCTCTGTAATGGAATCAGACACCTAATAAATTTATTCATAGTTACTTCACATTTATATTACTATAATAACCAATATATTTTAGCTACTTTTCTAGTTAGTATTACTAAGGTGTATTGAATTTGTATTATAACTGGTAATTCAACTATAGACTATTTTGCATTTTCTGTGAAAATAATCAGAATATAATTTCCTTGTGTTCATCTTTTACATATTTTAAACATCTAATTTTACTGTTTTAGTAACATGAGAATTATATGTACTTTGAATATTTAGTTACATTTGCCTGTTTTATCAGTCAGGGTTCAATCAAGGAAGCAAATCATTAGATTATGTTATGATTATTTATTGTAAAAATTAATTCTTACATAATTACAAAAGGATCTGGGAAAGTAAGGTCTAGAAGGGATTTGGAACATCAGAGTATAATGACTAATCAGGAATCATAGAACATACAATGGAACCTATGGACAAGCTGGAGTTGGCAAGGAGAGCTATGAAGCCAGGCACTTCCAACTTCCCAAGTGGAGCAGCTGAGAGAAAGCTATGGAATGTGGATGTATCTGTGTCTGGTGGTGAGTTTGGGATCAATGGTATGCCTTGGGGTCAACAGAAAGGTTAAAGAGATAATACAGAGTAAGGAACAATAAGGAAAATCTGTAGCCGGGCAGCAATCTCCATGAGAAAGAGTGAGCATTCACTAGGCAACTGTGCCTCTTTCACTGCATCTAACCATGATGACCAACTAAATCACAAAAATACACAGAAATGAATTCTGGGAAAGTTACAGCTTACCTACCAATGTGTAAAGCCTGTTGTTTCTCTTGTTCCTAGCCTATAGCTCTAGTTAGAGGAAACTGTCAAGTTCTCAGCAGGAGAGTGTTTGCTTCAGGAAGGCCTAGAGCTGAACTGCACATGAAACAATACAGATAAGGGTTTCTCATTTAAGAACTTAAAAGAAGAAGAAAGAAAACATTAAAAAAAACACAGCAAAACATAAAATCTTGCCTGTCACAGCTACTTAAATTGACTATATAGTTTTTATTTCTCCCAGCCTTATTTGTGTTTAAGGATTTATTCCTATCACATTTTCAATTGTTATGCAATAATCATTTATTGGCATGGAAAGGGCATTGGTTAGAAATCAAAGCTAGTAGGTAGAAACAGAACCACATGGATTCAAAAGAACACAGTGTCCTAAGTTTTCATTAGGAGCGCCAAAAGAGGGCAGAACATTCATTTCATATGTAGAAAGTGACATTTAGTCAAATGGAATCTCAATCAGGTATTGTGTACAATGGACCATCAGAGTTAGGCAATGAAAATATTCAGTCTAGAAAAAATCAAATCAAATATCTTAGATAAAAATATTCATGGGGGCTGGGGATATAACTCAGTTGGTAGAGTGCTTGAGTAGCATGTACAAGGCCCTGGGTTTAATCCCCAGCACCACCAAAACAACAAAACAAAAATATTCATTTTAAAACTTAGGTTATAAATAAAGGAGAATGTTTCTAGTGGAAACATGAGAATGCAAGAAAAGAAGATAAGACATCTCTTCAGGGAGACTCACTGACCAAAGTACACAAAGTACATTTTTTTTCCCCTATTAAACTGACCAGATTGCAGAAGGACAATCTGGTGAAGGACTTAAAATGGTCCCAGTTTCTAAGGTATCAGAGTCATTGAAAGCTAAATGCAAACAGGGATTTTGTGGTTCAAAGATAATGGCATATTATGTGTTAGTGTGGTTTCATGTAATTTCTTTGGTTATTCACAAAATCCTGTACGAAGTACAAAAAGGTAATCCAAACCTTCAAAAATGCTAACTTTTGTAGGAAACAACAACAACAAGAACATTCAAATAAAGAAAGAAAAACTTGGGGGAAATTATGGCTACTCTTTTTCTGAGGTCAATTAATTAATCAGAAATAAATATGTCTCCTAATCCTCTAGAACATCAGTTATTAATTAAAGCAAAACAGAACACTAACAAAATATTAATTAAATGGGGGTGGGCTGAGGTTGTGACTCAGAGGTAAAGCGCTCGCCTACCTGGCACTGGGTTTGATTCTCAGCACCATATAAAAATAAAGATGTTGTGTCCACCTATAACTTAAAAAATAAATATTTAAAAAAATTAGCTGGGAAGAATGTCATACTGAATAGTTAACTAATACTCATAAACCTTAGGTCATCCTCCCCATCACCAAATCTTTACCAAAATTTCTATAAAATATCCACTTGAAAACATGAGTTTCAATTCTTTTTAATTCTGATTTTCTACTAAAACCAAAATCTGGGGTGTTGAAGAGAAATGAAAGACAAAAATAGACAAAGGGACTAGTTAATGCATAAACTAGAGAATCCAAAGCCCCAAACAATCCAAAATTATTGCATTAGGCAAGTTATGTTATGTGTAGTAACAATGCATTTGCTGCAAGGACAATACTTAATTAGAATAATATAAAATTTTACTTTAGAAGTCAGAGTTATAGATTCAAACTTAAAAAAAATTACAATAAGGTTGGCAAATAAGGGTGGCAAATCCCTTTGGTTCAACTCTATCACCACCACCAATTATAATTAACTACTTAATCAGGAGTACAGTAAAATGTTTATGTTTTATGGTGATTTTATTTAAATAATTAGAATAAACTGATTGCCATCCATAATGAAAATGAAAATAAATCAGGGAATTTGCTTACAATCTCATATGTGAAAAATAAGTCTGTGCAAACACACAAAGGAAGAATTTAACATTTTCATGGGAAAAAATGCTGTAATGCTGTAAGAATAATAATGATTGAGAAATACTGATGTCTTTGGGAAAATGCTTTAAAAATTAAATGATTTCATTTAAAGATTTTAAAAATATAAAAATAAGTAATCTCATTCAGCAAAAAATCAAGTTGTAAATTCTTGTACTTTTCATTAATTTATGATAATTCATTCTGCAAAATTACTAACATGGACCAATAGTTAATAAATTCCTTCAATGTATCTAAACAGTAATTTTATAATATTCCAGTCATTTCATGAAATTGACTTCAGAATACTATCCAGATCAAAGAAATTACTTTGTAACTGACCAAACCTGCTTTATCCTCAGATTTATTCTGAGGGTGCAGGGGAGAAAAAAATCTATCTGTATTGGCTATTAAATACATCACAGTTCATTAAGCACAATTGTCCCAATTCTCCTGGTCACACTTCTTTGAAAATCAGAAATGGGATTGCTTGGAGGAAAACACAAAAGCACAATTACACATCTGCCTCTAGAACCCTGATTAGGTGAGTAACACTGAGATTATGGAACCAAAATCTTTAGTATTCCACTTTTTGAAAGAAAAATATACTGTCCATCAACACAGTTTGTTCTTGACCTCCCTTTTAACTCCAGTTGTCACTGAGTCAGTTTCATTTGGCATGGTGGATCTTTGTGGCTATAATGACTGGAGAAAGGTGGGGCATCTCAACTTCATTGGAAGGTACAGGATAGTTTCACTCCATTACCTGGAGACCAGACTTTTTATCACTGGATGGTGGGATCCAGCAGCCTTGCTCTGTGCCTATTCCATGTATATAGGGTTCCTGATTCCATGGCTGCACTGACCCTATAGAAAAAAAGAAAAAAAAGCAAATTAAAAAAAAAAAAAGAAATTTAGTATTCACATTATTCACAATGTCCAACAAAAGAGACCTTTAAAAACTGGGGTTTGAGAATTGGCCTGAAATAYAAAAAGAACACATTCTCAAACTATTGTGGACTCAATTTCAAAAATTAAAACTGTCTTGGTTGGTTGAGAAAATCCAAAGAGCTATGCACCTGATATTGCTCTTTGGCTTTCTCTGTGTACTTCCTATCTCCACATCTGGACCATAAATTACTTTGGAACAAACTCAAGTTTTCAGTGCACTTTTATCCCATTCTCTCAGTGTGGTCTTCTGCCCCTAGTAAGTTACTTTGCACTTAACTTGCACCAGTTGATATTGGCTAAGGTCAATAAAAATGACTCTGTGAATCTACCACAAGTACTATGTTTTCACGGACTTTCTAAGAACAGAGAAGGGATTGGCTCAAAGCCAAAATTGAGCTTTATCTCCTTCCCCAAGCACACTTTCACCCCAGGCAGCTGATCGGGGATATATTACTCATATTGGGAGACAGTTAGATGAGTGGCCCCACAAAATGGGTTAAATTGTTTGTAGCAGAGTACAAAAAAAAGTAGACATTCTAAATTATCCCTGACTACACAGCGAACTATAATGAGTCTTTAGGTTTTTTCTGAATGTAACCATATTCTTATAGTAACATTGTGCTGCTGAGTGACTTGAAAAATTATATAACATGTACTTCTAAAGTAAATTACCTTCATAAGAAAGAAGTATGTGCTTTTAGGTGCTTAAAAAAAGTTCTATGTAACCAAATAGATGCTGTCACTTTCTAGTAAAGCTACGAATAATACCAAAAAACAAGCAGCTTTTCAAAATGCTGAATTTTTAAATTATCCAGGCAACAGTAAAATATATATATATATATATATATATAACTTATTGTGGTATTTATGGCCTTGTTCAAATTAGGCAATAAGGATTTACTGAGTTTAGTATTTTGGGTTACCTGGAAGCATATGTACAAGAGAGGTTTTAGAGTGACTTTTCCAGAATAAAAAGCCTATGTTCTCTCTATAAGGAAATCTGAAAAGAAGATTATGATAATAAGCATGAAGGGCAAATATCAGAAAATAAAGTAGAACTGATATTTTATTGGCTCATTTTATTAGCAGTGGAACTGTTTTTGTTGGCACAAAGATTCTCTAAGCTTTTTCAAAGGCTTATGACACAAAAGCATGTTCAATAATGTCCTCCAGGCTGTGAAAAAACAATAATGCTATCTAAGACACAGCCCAAGAGGTTTATCATAATATAACTCCTGGCAAAAGTGCTATGTCAGAGGATATTTAACTCCATTTCTACCTGAAGCAGACTGAGTTCTAGAGCAGTTTGAGAACCTGGGTTGATTTTATTGTCTCTCTGTGGCCTGACTGGACTTCACAGCCAGCCAGGGATCTGGCCGAGGTCTAGCCCCTGATAAGACTTGAATACTCTGAAATCCCCAGATCAACTTACATTCACAGGAATCCTTCCCACCAGAACATAAACACATTTTCTTGAAGCCATTTACAATTTCACTGGATCTATACCGACAGCTACCCATACAGATTCCAAACTCAAGAACGACCTTAAAACCCTAATTCAAAATAAGAAGTCACTCATTGAGTACTTGCTGAAAGTGACCTAGCAGACTGCTATGTGACTACAGTTTTAGTGAACATGGTAATCTCATATAAGACAAAAATGCAGTCCAAATTTGTTTCTCTAAAGCTCCATGGTATTTAAATACAACCCAGATGCTCACATAACTTATACAATTTTTACTACTGTTTTTCTGGTTAGATGAGACTTTTCACTGGAAAACATTCATGATCCAGATAAAGATAACCATTCACCAAGCTCCAGGGAGGACAACTGGACAACATCTGCTGCCTGGCCATCCTTGCCAGCGGAATACTGACTCCCATTCCTGATGTCTTGATGTTCCTTTATGACCACAAACTATAGAAAAGAAAAGGAAAAGAGAAGTTATGGTTATAATTCACAAACCATCCCATCATACATCAATCAAAGCCTATGGCTTTATCATATTCATATACCTTATCCTACATAAGGCAACTGTTAGAAAAAAGAGTCTGTCAAATTCATTTCTCTAGCTCATGAAAGACTCCATTTTAAATTAGAAATTCTATGCTACTTTCTATTAAAGCAACTGGAAACTACCAATATCTATACTGAAGATTCTATTATAATTCTGGAATCCCAATTTTGGGGCATGGATCCCTGTGGGCTAACACTTTACTATAAATAATCCAAGAATTCATAAGTATTCTAAGCATTGTTCATTGGCCAAATAATATCACATACATGTTTGTTACAACTTTCCATATACACATAAATGCACTTAAATATAGGTACTAATAACTAATAGTGCAAATACTATTTTGCATAGATCTATCAAATGTTTTCTTAAGATTAAACAGACTGGGAAACAGAATTATAAAAGGAGACCCAGAAAACAACATTTCTCTTCAGTCAACAAAAATGATCATTCTTTTCATTATTTGGATTGTCTAACACTGATCGGGCACTTGGAATGCAGGCTRAGCTGAGTTCACTGGCTTGCTCTGAGGCTAGATAGATTAGATATTAAAATAGATCAATGATAAAAGAAAAAAAAATAAAAGAAAGAAGTGACCCATGCTCTAGGATAAAGGACACAGATGGCTGAAATCCTTCTTTGTCAATCAGTAACCCAGTAGAGGGACTGCCCAAAGTTTTGACTGAGGGACTGCCCAAAGTTTTGACTGACCATGCTCCACTGGTTCAGAAATGGGCCTTCCACAGGAAGAAGCCCAGAACCCAGAATCAAGAGAATAGGAATTTGAAATTATAAAAGTATAGGAATGGATGATGAGTGGAGTCAATTAGGGAGAAGAGAGGGGAATGTTGGTAATAAAAGGGTAAATCTCATGAACATATGTTCTCATTTTCTTATTTTCCACAACACTAATGACCCTTTGTCTTCTCCTTATTAATGGTCTCTCTGCAGAAACATATTGCAAAACCAATATGGGACTACTGTTTAAGGGCACAGGCCCATTATTTCTGGTTCAAGTAAAAAATCCCCCTCTACACCACAAATGTTYCAACCATTTGCCTCTCTGTTGGAAGAACACAGGACCCAAATTTCTGGGCTGAGATGGGGAAGGCAGCTGATGGAACCAGATTTGTTTCTTCTGCTTCTCCTTCCAGTTTGGATACTCAGCTCTCTCCCACTCCCTCTGGTATCTGCAGCAGCAGTTGGTGTGGATGACACTTATGACAGCTGGGGAGGACAGAGCTCAGCAGCCCAGGCACTTCCTAACAGCACTGAGCCAACAAGCAAGTGACATGCAGAAAATAAGTTTCTGAGCTGGGAATGTAGCTCGGAACTTGCCTAGCACATGTGAAGCCCTGGGTTTAATTCAAGCATACACACACAAATTAATAATAATAATAAAATAAATAGGGCTGAGGTTGTGGCTCAGTGGTAGAGCGCTCGCCTAGCACATGTGAAGCCCTGGGTTCAATCCTCAGCACCACATAAAAATAAATAAATAAAATAAAGGTATCATGTCCAACTACAACTAAAAAAATAAATATTTTTAAAAAAATAATAAAATAAATAAAAATAAAGGATTGTGTTTCTCCTTATTTCCCCTGATTTAAATTAGATAAGCTAAACCTGCCATCCAAAACCTAAATGAAATACCACACAGATTGCAAAGCAATGTGGGTACTTCCAAAGTCCACAGTCAGGAGGCTTCCAAGAACTGAGCAAATTCTACAGGTAAATCCTCCCAGAATCACATACTGTGACACTTACGGAGACTTAAGGGATCTGAGAGACCATCTAATCTAAGTCCCTTGTACTGAAGAGGAAGCAAGATCCATAGAGCTTAAGGGACTTGCTGAAGATTGCCAGGTAGTAAGGGAGATCTCACATTTCTTATTTCTATACTTAAATTCTACCAAAAAAACAAGTAAACACTGAATGCCTATAACAGTAGGAACACATGATCACTTGTTAGTAAAGAGCTCAATCACAAGAAAGTTACCCTTTGGGATGCATTGTGAGGTGGGGTTAGGGGAGTAGAGATACGTGGAAAGAGCTCCAAACATCGCCTTTCCCCCTGCAAAACTTCTTCCTAACAGTTCTTCCCTAAGGTTTCAATCCTCCCTGGCCTGCTACATATTCCAAGCTTTTCTGCAACATACACCACAGATACACCAACAGAGCACACTCAATCAGTTCTCTGATGGATTTCTGGAAATGGAAATTCCCAGCGTCAAGAGTTTAGCTTGTCGCAAGTCTTCCCTCTAGTGGTCTGAAATCAATACTGAAGCAGATGACCTGCCAAGTATCTTGAATTTCTAGATCTAGTATTTTTTTTTGAAAAACATTCAGGGTTGACAGATACAATACAAAACAGCCAAGTGACTAACTCAAATCTGCCTTTGAATTAAACTTGAACTTTAATTATAAGTATGAATTTAAGCATCCTGTATTTTTGTTAATCTGGAAACTATTTTGCTACTGAAGTCTAGGGATTTAAAATGTGCATGAGGAAAAAATATTAAGAATGCCAGGAGCATAATCTTGAATTTTTAAGATATCCATGTGAAAGGGATCACCTAAAATTTGGGGAAAACTTCACATAACCTAATAATTTAAGTCATAAGAAAAAGGTATACATAGAAAAAAAATCCCCTACAATTCTTGTGCCATTAAATTAGGATGGTATTTTAATTCAGATTCCCTTAATATAGGACACAGTTCCTCCACCATCCCACCCCTAACCCTCCCCAGATGATGTAGTGTTGGCTAACACAGATACTAGTTGAAAGTTATAACAGATTCCAGTTGCTCCAAACTCAGTAAAGGAGAAGAAAAAGTGAACTGGGATGTATATCGACCCACTTCCTGGCTTTGTCTACTTTGGTCACATTACCCAAGGTTGGGGGCAAGAAGACATTCCAGCCTCTCCTTCAGCAGGCTTGCCCTGGCTCACGTCTCTGCTTGACTCTTCATAGGGATTCTTTGCATTTTTCAATAGCAGCTTCTGAGTCCTGAGATAAAGCCAAAATTTGATACAATCTCAAAACAAACCATTCATCCCACTCACTGATGGCCAGGGACAACTATCTTGTCAGAACAGGTCTATCAACAGTGCACATGTGGTCAAGCACATAGCTGAAGATTAATAGCCGGTAAGCAGCCACTCTTATCAGCACTGTTCAGTAAATAACCACAGATCTGTTCCCAGTGAATTTTATAATTCTGGATAGATTTCAGTGAAAAGAAAAAGAAAGAGCTCTGATGAGCCTTCTTTTTTGAAGTAACAGCCCTTATCACTTTTGATTTTAGGAATAAGAGCATTGAATCTAAAGACATTTGTCTTTGTAAGTAAAGTCTCTGAATTTTTCCTGCTGTGCTGCTTAGAATTCCAAGCCAATGGGCTGGGGATGTAGATCAGTGGTAGAGCACTTGCATGGTGTATGTGAGGCCCCGGTTGGTTTCAATCCCCAGAAACAAACAAACACACACACACACACACACACACACACACACACACCTCYAATCAAACAAATCCAGCAATTTGCCTTTAGTTTTCAATCCAGATCTCTGAAAGATGTCAGTATAATGTAAGACATAATAACATCATAATACCTCAGAGAAAAATAATTACAGCACACATGAATTTGTTTCTTTTTTCCAACTTTTTCTACACTATTTGTTAAGATCTACCTTTGTTTTGGCATACTGTCCAGTGGAATGACCTATATAGATCATTAAATGTTCTTTTCTAAAACATCTGAGTTTAAATACCAGTTTAAAAAGTGCAATATAGGGCTGGGGTTGTAGCTGGGCTGGGGTTGTGGCTCAGTGGTAGAGTGCTTGCCTAGCATGCATGAGGCACTAGGTTCAATCCCCAGCACCACATAAAAATAAAGGTATTGTGACCATCTAAGACTAATATATATATTTATTATTTATATATATTTATATATTTATTTATTTATTTATTTATTTATTTATTTATTTTAAAATGCAATGTACTTTAGATTAGACCTAGAGAAGTGAAGGGAGGGAAGTGGGTTTGGGAGAAGGAAGGATAGAAAAATGAATCAGACATTATTACCCTATGTGCATATATGATTACATGACCAGTGTGATTTTATATCATGTACAACCAGAAGAATGAAAAGTTATACTCCATTTATGTATGATATATMAAAATGAATTCTACTGTCATGCATAACTAATTAGAACAAAATTTTTTTAAAAAATATTTATTTATTTTTTCTTAGTTCTCGGCGGACACCACATCTTCGTTTTTTTGTATGTGGTGCTGAGGATCGAACCCGGGCCGCACGCGCGCTAGGCGAGCGCGCTACCGCTTGAGCCACATCCCCAGCCCCCTAGAACAAAATTTTTAAAAAGTGCAATATTACTAGGTGGGCCACTGAATTAAAATTTCAAGTTTGTGCCTGAGAATCTTGTCTCTCAGGAGTTGGCATAAAAGGTCTTAGAGTATCTGAATCTGATTGGGAAGATTATCATTCACAGATAATCACAGTAACAGCATTTATGAAACTCAATATGCCAGGCCTACACTAAACTCTTTACTTTGATTAATTCAATCTCATGATAACCCTTGAGATAAATACTATTTTTGTCTCTATTTTATAGCAAAGGAAATAAATGAATACAGGTATTAAACATGTCTGATGTCCTATTTAGGCACTAACTGGGACTAGAAGCTGTGTGACGTGATTCCAAAACCTATGCTCTTAACCACTACACTAGAATATAGCAGGATCTCAAGGAAGAGTATCTTGGCTAATATATTGAGTTTTTTTTTTTTTTTAAAAGACATGAGTGGTTGTGCAGTACAAGTGAATGATGTTGGATTTTTATCTTAAGATAATAGCAGGTATTGGTACATTCTCAAAGAATTGGAACCTATGAGTTAAGTGGGTCTCAGGTTCTTAGCCATAAAATGATATTATTGAACTAGATAATCTCATAAAGTCACCATCAGCCCAAAGTCTTCTAGGTTTTTTTTTTTTGTTTGTTTGTTTGTTTGTTTATGGTACTGGGGATTGAACCCAGGATCTCACACACACTAGCAAGTGCTGTCCCATGGAGCTTACACCCTCAGTCCTTTTTTATGATTTTATTTTGAGACAAGCTATCACGAAGTTGCTCAGGCTGGCTTAGAAATTGCGATCCTCCTGCCTCAGTCTCCCAAGTAGTTGGGATTAACAGCCATGTGCCACCATGCCCAGCAATGTTCTACTTAAGGAAATGCAAAATAAACAGGGTGATGCCTATTTATACCTTTACTGTAGTGTGATTTTTAAAAAATTAAAAGTGTGTTATGATTCCTTGGTTTTTAATTGTTAACTTTAAATGAATGAAAAATATAAAATTCAAGGATCAGAAACATCCTTCCAAAGTTAGAGAAGATACTGATTTTCTTTAATAAAAGGCCATATTTTGTGTGAAATTAACTCAGTGAAAGGCAGTCATGAAAAATTATAGTTACATTGGTTGGAAGCAGGGGCAAGAAGAGCATGGGATGCTAAAAGAAGAAACTGGAATTCAAAAATGCACACTGCTGGGGCTGAGGCTGTGGCTCAGTGGTAGAGTGCTCATGAAGCACATGTGAGACACTGGGTTCGATCCTCGGCAYCACATAAAAATAAATAAATAAAATAAAGGTATACATACATGGAGTATAACTTATTTTTAAAAATGCACATTGCTTGGGAATGCGGCTTAGTGTTAAAGCACTTGCCTAACATGTGCGAGGCCCTGGGCATGATCCCCAGCACCACACACAAAAAAAGTAAACAGACACCTGAACTATATTTGGACAAAGACTAGAATGGAACAAGAAATATAAATGAATGCACTGATGTTTTAGGGCAGTAAAATCCTGGATTTTAAAAACCTATTACTCCTACTACTACCTATTATTACTACTTATTATTAAAATGTAGTCCATAGATAGATAAGGGACATCCTGAGGAGGCAGGTGTTCCCTTGGGAGGACTTAGAGGTTTGAAGGTACCAATGGGAAGAAAGGGTCACCTGTAGTAGTGAGCACCCCACAGCCCCAGGAGCAGCAGCAGAACCAGCACAACCACACAGACAGCCACCACGGTGATGTCCCGCTGCTGCCCATGGCCAGCATGGCGCAGTTCCCACCATCTCAGGTCTCGGTGCTGACATCGCTCCCCGACGTAGCCAATAACACAGCTATAACAACATACAAACAGAAGTCATCAGAGACTCYGGCCAAGGGCATTTGATAGTCTTCAGACTCAATAGCCAGCCATCTCTCAACCTCTGCATTCCCAGACTCATCTCTTTAGAAGCACATGGAAAATCCATCAGGGGTCAGCTGAAAGCACTACGGTTTATAAGTTAATGCCACACAGACTGCCCCTTTTAGTCTGCTTGCCCTGGGATTGATGGAAAATTATTTGCATACTGCCTCTATAAGGTATTACAGAACATTGATTAAAGATCAATTTCTCTTAGGCTAAAATCCTGAGGAGCCACCTTTTAAAACCAACACAAAGCAATTCAGCCCTGAGAGCCAGGGGAGTTTGGGAAACAAATGTTTGGCCAGATTGCAATGAACAAAGGTCAAAGGAAAGAAGAATCTGAAGGCAGATTCCCTCACTTGAAAGCAAACTAAAAGGAGGAACACATGTAGCCCCTGAACAGGAAGTACAACCTAAAGTAGGAAAGAAATTTTTTTCCTTTTTAATCACCACTGGACAATGATTCAAGAGAAGCTCACAGTGATGACACAAAAATTTGCTTATTTTATTAAGGAGAAAATACCTAATGGAGGAAAAAAGGGACATTCACTCACAAATGCCTTACTGTCTCATTAATACAATGTAACTAGAATCATTAGTGATTGATTTATAGTTGAATTTTCAAAGTAGATGAAACAATGCTGCCATCTAGTGAGAATGCTCATTTCCAGAAACTACTGGGATCTTGGGTAAACAACTGTATTATAATATTTGTTTTAAGAGAATTAACTTTTAAAACATGGCATTACAAATTCCCCAAAGAACTGAAGGGATGAATACACAGATAACTCAAATCAGCTCCTTTGATGGGAAGCAGCAGCCTGGGGAAAAAACACTGCACTAGCTCCAGAAGATCTGTCCATTCCTAGTTCTACCCTTACGTTATCACAGGAGGTTGGCAAGTCACTTTGAGAGAAAGGAGGGAAAGCAACAAGCATTTGTTAAGCCTCTTACGTGTCTGACATCATTACTAGGCACTTCAACACATTTTAGTTTTTATGGCATGTTCTCATTTTACAGGTGAGGAAACTGAAGCTCAAAGAATTAAGTAATTTGTACATGGCTACACAGCTAATGAATGGAAGGTTTGATTCAAGTTACTCTTTAATGTCAAAGCCTGTGTCCTATTATACCACGCTAATTCCAAAAAAGGCTTCAAGCTTTATTTGTAGATGCATAAAAGACCATTAGGTTATTCTAGGCTTCCCTGGGTACTACTTTGATTCTAGCTATCTTTGGTTATAATTATTTACTATCAATGCCTATCAGCCACTTTTAAACTCTTTGATATTAATGAGACATACCTTTGGACCTCTCAGAGACTTGAGGATTTTAAGGATGTCCATCACACTACCAAGAATCCTGAGAGCTAAGACAGGTTGCAGTAGCAGAGCCTTTCTGTCTTACAAGGCCCAAAACAGTCCCCAGTTTACGAGGGAGAAGGACACAAATCACGAGTCCTTTAGACTATTAATTGGTTCTTGTGCTAAACCAACAAAAGATTCTCTGGCCAATTAAGTTTGAATTTCTACGGTCAAATAATTTCAAGACATTCTAGATGAAATAAAGGTAAACAAGACTTGATAGTGTGTTTGTTGGTGGTGTGCTACGTATCAAGAATTGAAGGTTGGAATCTGAAATGTTTCTCAAATAGATTTGGTCACACAACCCTGTCTTCAAGAAACATTGCACTGACTGGTGTAGGGGATGTTCATCTAAAGAAGATGTGCAATAATGTGTTTGGTCAAAGCTAAACCAGAACAGAGGGGGATCTTCTCTGAGCTTAAGAGCTTCGGGAACTCCTGAGACTCTCCAAGCCAGGAAGGCTTGGAGGAGCTGTGTGGGCACAGACACCTCCAGGACTCACTTCCTCTGCATTTAGGTCTCTGAGGGGAACTCCCACTGTCTCCAGGCAAAGAAGGAAGAGCCGGCCCTTTAAAAACCCTAGAATAAAAACCTGCTCTGTGGCAAAAGATGCAGTGTTTCCAATAAAGCTGGGCTGAAAAGCACTCCCTAGAGTTTTGTTATAGAATTAATAAAATACTAGGTGAGGTCAGCAGGGCAAAAGGAGGGAAGGGTTGAATACTTGACTAAACCACATTTTTTTTTTACTAAATATACAACTCAAAAACAAAGTTATGGTCCAGATTACTATGTATACTGATAATAGTTTTAAATACTGCTTTTGACTAAAGGTACTTAAAGGTGAATGTCATCTAATATGTCATTTTGAACAAATTCTAGTTTAAAACATTATTAGAGAAATACGATATTTTCATCAGGATTTAATGATAGGAAGAAAAGCATTGTGCTCAAGAACTCATTCTAAATGCAATACTGTACTAAATGCAATACAGCAACCTTTTTTTTGGTCACTGTAATGATTTTTATGACCTGAAGTATCATGGAAGAAAACAAATAAGACCTAATGAATTAGGACACTTGTTTCTGTAATTTCATTACTTGAGGGTATAAGAAATCATGAACAGGTAAAAATTGTGTATTTCTTAATATGAAATAACATTAATTTCAAGTATACTACTATAATTTGTCAAGTTATCATAGGTTTAAAAATTATAGGGGTAAATATAAAAATGAAAGCAGAATTTCATTAGAACTGAGTCATTTTGACTAATATTCATGAATGTTTTTCAAATTTTTGCCATGCTGACATGATTTTTAATGCAAGGTCACACACACACATTCTGTCACAGAATATAACTTCCTCCATAAATAATTTAAACTATGTTTCTGTGCATTATTATTGATAAAATCATTAATGTCTTTAAACTTGTAGTATCTGTTCATGAGAATCAGAATATTTTATCACTCCTTCAGGCTCGGAGAAAATTATCAATGAGACAGGGGTCTAAACACAGGAGACATATTTATTTTTTTCTAGTTGGGTCCCTCATATTGCCTGGAAAATGTAAAATTCATTAAAAGTAAGATTTGGTGTAGAACTAGCTATTGTGAGCTTGAGTTTTATTAAAGGCTCCACAGGAAAGGTGTTCTGAGTGAGCCCTGTRGGAATACTTCATTGTTTTATGTCTTCCTCAAATCCGCTTTCAGGGCACCATTTTGCCCATGGTGAAACCCTCATGTGGCAAAAAAAGGGAGCAGAAGACACAGTACCTGCAGCTCTCAACAACTGTGATTAAACAATAAGAATGTAAGAATCAACCACTAGGAAGTGAAGAAAAATTTATTTTAGCTTTGAAAAGCAAAGGTAAAAAGTCCAATGTGAATATGTACAACATTTTTGTAAATCTAAAAACATATTGTGAATGTTCTCCATTTATTTGACAGAGAATAAATCAAAGTTTTAAGAAATTCTCCACAAACATGTTTTTCAAGCAGAATGAGAAATTTAATTCCTAGACTACACAAGCAATTATTTAAATAAAAGGAAAATCACCAATTACTTTCCTTTATGTTTACCACTGGTGACTGGGAGGAGGTGGTGATATATATGCAAGGAAAGTGCATTGAGGTGTGCACCCACACACCATAATCTATGTATTCATGTTTTCCTAAGGAAAAAAAAATCTAATTATGAAAAAATCTCCTACATATAATTCTACAAATTAGTGAAACATTATGGACTAGGATAGCACCTTGGTGCTGTCAGGAAGAACTGGACTTACTTGCACGCATAGCTGTCTACTGCTTCAACATACATACATACTCCACCATGGAGGCAGTACCCATCATGTGACTCAGGACATCCTGGGTAACTATTTCTGACCAGATGGTGGCCATCTTCCCAGAGGGTAGGGGGTGGTGTATAGTCTGGAAGAATCATAGACATCACTTTTATTTTCTGTGATAAAGGTTTTTAAAGTATTAATATCAGGAATTAGTTTCTGTGAACAATTTGTGATACCATGTCTCTCAGTAATGGTAGAACTATCAGGAGCAACAAGAGTTTCTCCTTACCAAGCAGACTTTATGCCATTCACTATGAAATTAACTCTTATTTCTTTAGATATTCTGAGGTATATTGGAGGCAAATAAGAAAATGGCCATCCTAAATCCCCATATGGATTACATCACTGATYTCATATAAGAGCAAGTCTGTCATTCAAAAACACATAATAACCAGAAACACAAACTGATTGTGTGAAATGATAGCTAGCTTTAAGGTGTCATGGAACAGCTGGTGTCTTTGTCTTTAAACTATCCCACCAATAAACAGTCCATTGCCCACCAAATCCTGGGAGTCTCAAAATTTTCTCCCATACAATATTTTCTATTAAACTATTAATAGAAACTATTAAACTTTTAGGGGAACCCTCAGAGAGAAGACTGTGGCAAYTTTAGTAGGAAGGAAATGTTACTATAGCAGAGGAATGCCAAAATGGTAAGATCTCTTTTTGAATGATTCACTACTCTTTAACCCATTAAATCCCAAGTTTTCAATTCTGCAAATATTTCAATAAAATTGATATAGATGCATTAAAAGAGGTGGTAAATTATAATATAGAGCTTATATACATTATAAGTATTATAATATTATGAGTATATTCTTATTATTTTAACATAATTATATATTATGTACTATATTCAAGTTTTTGTAGGTGTTTCACATCTGGGATGATGGGACAAAATGGATTAAAAGAAAAACATCAGGATGTGTAGCTGACTATATAAAGAAAAGGTTTTCAATATCTTTAAGAAGAACAAATTATCTGAGAAAAATAACATGCTAAAAAACAGAGCCCAGGCAAGTGCAGAAATTTCTTTTCTGAGGATGTTTTTTGTTTGCAGAGCTGAGAGGCAAGCAGCTGGCAGTGGGAAGAAGGACCCATCCTTCCAGGTTCTAGGTGAAATCAGCTCCCCATTTAGGGTGCTGAGGGTTAAGAAGATACTGCTGTTATGGGGAAAAGTTCAGGAAGCAAAAGTCAACTGTAATGAATGTTTAAAAAGAAAGTGAAGAGAGTTGGAATGCTAATTTTAGATCAAGAAATAACGACTTTTTATAGTAGCATTTTAAAATCCTACCAAGTGATTATTTTCCCTATTCTCCATCCTTGCGCCACTTCACTGAAGTGCTGCCAGTGGCTCTGTCACTACAGCTGTGCTGTCCAACATGGCAGCCACTGCAAATCAGGATTATTGAGCTCCTGAAATACATCTGGCCTACACCAAAATGTGCTCTAAGTATAAAATACATACCAGATTTGGAAGACTTCTTACCAAAATTGAAAAGAATGTAAAATATCTCATTTTATACTGATTTCATATTAAAATGTTACTATTTGGATATATTAGAATAAATAAAATACATTATTTAAAATCCAGGCATACTTAAAACCTGCTTTGCCCTGTAAAGTTTTTCCAGGAGCCCCAGGAATCAACATTACAAATCAGGAGATTAGTCACATAGTTAAAGGGAACCACCTGGGTACTCACCTATATTGAACTGCAAGTAATAAAAAAGGATTTATTCCAGATGCTATTAAATTAAGAAGGCCTGGACCATTTCAAGTTTTCAAGCCCAGTATCAACACAAAGAATAAAGCCAGCTCTCCAGCCTGGTCAAACTGAATGATTCCTAGAATCTCTAATGCAAATATACTGGGGTACAGAATTTCCCTGAACCAAGTCTTTCCCCTTCCATCTAGACCATCCACCAACAACCTACCAGGGCAAGACAGTCCAGGTTCAGACAGGCGGCCAGCACACATGCAGGTATAGCCTCCCTCTGTATTTGTACAGTTGGCATTCTCTCCACAGCTATGAATCCCCAGGTGGCACTCATCAATATCTGTCAGAAAAATGGGAATGGGGAAGAGTGGAGTGCAGAGGAAGGAAAGAGTGTTATGCAACTGGAAAGTCCAACATTTTAGAAGGTGGTTATATTCAACTTCATGTTTTCAGAGCCCTACACATTTTTATGGGTTCCATTATGAATGCTGGAGAAAGAGATGAACTGAATCCTTGGCTGCATACCCATTCAGGTGCTCTAGGCTCCTGACAGAGGGTTTCTTTCTTCTGCTTGGAAAGAAAGGAGACTTTGCCAAATTGGAATTTGGTAAACTACTTCCAGGCAAACATTTAGAAGTTAAGATCCCAAAATTCATACTTAACTTTTGTAAACAGACATCCAGCCATTGACATAAATATTATATCAAATTTAACATGTTTGCTTTTTTAACATAAACATGAACCATATAAATAAAGCATCCTTTCTTTCCCAACTATCTCCCCCCACCCTCCACACACACTTTTCTTTCTCAACTGCCACCACCCTAATATTCAGGTAATTTCTGGCTACAACAGTCTCACTATATTTCTGCATTCCATGTCTTCTGCAGGGCACTCCTAAACACCAATGCCAGATAATTCTTCCTAGACCAGGATGATGATAACCCATCACTGCACCTCTTCACTGAAATGCTGCCAGTGGCTCTCTATTCCTACTACTGTGCTGTCTAATATGAAAGCCATTGCAACACAGAAGCATTGAGCTCCTGAAATGCACCTCGTCCACACAGATCTGCTGTAAGCATAAAGCACATACCAGATTTGGAAGACACAATACTAAAATAAAACATAAAAATCCAATAATTTTRTGTTGATTACATATTAAAACATTAATATTTTAAATGAATTAGAATAAATAAATGGTTAAAATGAATTCCAACCCTCCCTTTTTGTTTTTTTCATGCGACTACTACAAAATTTAGTATAAAATTTGGCCCAGAGAAAACACAAATGACTGGTCCTTGGGTTCTAATCTTGCACAAATGTAACCCAATCCATCTGTTAGGGACTGAATAGTGTCTCCCCACAAATTCACATGTTAAAGCCTTGACTCCCAATGTATTGTATGTGAAAATAGGGTGTATAAATATTGAGGTAATTAAGGTTAAATGACATCAGAAGGGTGAGGCCCTAATCCAATAGAACTGGTATCCTTAAAAGAAGGGGAAGAAACACCAGAGTTGTTTCTCCTTCTGCACACCACAGAGGAAAGCTGTGTGAGAATGTGGCAAGAAGGTGGACATCTTTAAGAGGGAAAGATCCTTCACCAGAACCAACCAGCCAGCTTGTTCATCTGGGAATTTTAGCCTCCAAAACTGAGAAAACAAATTTCTGTTGTATAAGCTATAGTCTATGATACTTTAATACTTTGTTATGGCAACACCACCCTACGACCCAACCCCAAATAATATGATTTTTTTTGTGACTAGAATACTTCCTACCTTCACATTTTTGTCTGATTAATATTTACTAATTCCCCACAGTCCCTTTAAAATGACATTCTTCCATGAAAGAGTTCCCAATACCTCAAACATATTTCTTCCAGTTTTAAACTTCCACTATGATTTTTATATCTCTTATAATGTACATCTTTCTTAACCACTTATCACAGCTGAGCTTCTTGTAGATCATATTCTCCTTGCAAGAAGACTGGCTCCCTCATCCTGGCATTCCTCACAGTTACTAATACTGTATCTTTGCACCTAATATGAACCAATACAATATCTATCACATTATGTTACTGTTCTGAATGGTTCAAATTGACTCTTTTTTCCTAACTGGCCTCATGTTGTAATGTCAATGAACTATCAACTTGAGACAAAGAGTGAGCTTTTCTGAAAAGCAAAAACAAAAATGTATCCTTCGCCATGAAACACAACTATTTCCAGTAGTAAGAACAACACTTTCATATAGCACTTATGTGTCAGGCATGGCTGAAAGCAATATATTCACCTATCTACATACAGGCAGAGAGACAGAAGACAAGGTCCAAGAGAGAACAGGAGCAAGCACAAGTTTCCATGGAGTCTGAGGACTCCATGCCAATCAGGCAGGTCAGACCATGACATCCATAGCACATCTTAGATGTGTGTTAGTAACAGAGAATCAAGAGTTTAAACATTTGAGAAAGGATACCTTCTTTTCAAAGGAAATTAAATATGAAGTCTGTTTGTGTAAATTATCTATGAGCCTTCTTAATTAGAATCRTGACATTTTCCTGACTGACAGCCAAATATGTGCTTAAAAGAGCATTTTCAAATGTCTGTGGACTCCACAGAACTAATCTGATAAAGGTTTGGTTTAAACCATCCAGATCCAGAAAACGAATAGTTATGATTGATACTTCTTTTTTAACTTAACACGTGGAAGAAAGCACTATCGTTTGAATTTCTTATCAGGGCATCTGGCATGAAAATATTTTTTATGTTTTCAGAAAAAGAAAACACTGGAAGAAAAATTTTAAAGCCCTATGAAACCTCAGATAACCACTGCAGTAGGAACGGGTGCCTTCAGGCAGGTTTCCACTTGTACAAGATACTATGCCACTGATACCTGGAAAGGTGGAAGACAGCCACAGAGTGAATTCCCAACCCAACAGGCCTCACCCAGACCTTGGCAGAGGATGGTGATTATGAAAGAGGTTTCAATCATTCTTACTTCTATCTAAATGTCAGTGGCTATGAGTCTCCTGCCTATTACACATCAAGAAACCCAAAGATCCCTTTCAGGGAACCACACCTCCTTTTCTCTGAAGTAACTTCCAACAGCCCCAAATCAAATTTGTAGTTCACCACATCCCAGATGCCAAATTCAATGACAAAGAAATGTCCAACTCTCCCATGACGGCTCAAGGCATGGAGCGCTGAGAGACACTGATGTCACTCAAATCCCAGAGAAAGAACAAAAACCAGAGAGGTAAATAGCCTCCAGTGTCAGAGGCTTGACACTGACTAGTGTAGCTGTAATACAAAAGTGACTATCAAGGAATGAAATATGTCAGAACAGTTCATGTGACTGCTTCTAGTCTTGACATGTGTATCACCCCAATTACAACCTGTCTTTTCTTGGCCCACCACACCCACSATGTTTTGTGATTTTCCAAGGCTTTCTTCCACCCTCCTGCGCCAACCACTCTCTTACCAAGACAGTGAATTCCATCTCCTTGGTAACCTTGGGAGCATCCACAGACATAACTGCCTTCTGTATTGATGCACTTGGAGGAGACAGGAGGACAAACTGTGCTACCCACCTCACATTCATCTACATCTGTGGGCAAAATTGTGCATAGATAAATATTCAGGCTTGGTATAAATAGCAACAGTAGGAAAAAATAAACAAACTTGTATTTTATCATACGGCTGTTAACATACTATTTGCAAATATCATGCAAATCTGAACTTGTGAATTAATTTCTCCAGAGTTCTTACCCATGCAAACAGTTAAATATGTGTAAGTAAACCAATTCATACCATAGTTTCAGATCATAAGGACTGATATTTTTTTCAGTAATCACTAACTTATCATTTTGATGCCATTGATATAAAATATTAACCTATCCATGACAATCTATTTATTTGATTAAAACTTTGGCTAAACTTCTGTGGGAGAAAAAAGTTCTGGGGCTGGGGTTGTGGCTCAGTGGTTGAGCGCTCGCCTAGCACATGTGAAGCCCTGGGTTTGATCCTCAGTACCACATAAAAATAAATAAATAAAAAATAAGTGTTGGCGAGGATGTGGGGAAAAAGGTACACTCATACATTGCTGGTGGGAATGCAAATTGGTGCAGCCAATATGGAAAGCAGTATGGAGATTCCTTGGAAAACTGGGAATGGAATCACCATTTGACCCAGCTATCCCTCTCCTTGGTCTAGAACCAAAGGATTTAAAAACAGCATAATACAGGGACACAGCCACATCAATGTTGATAGCAGCACAATTCACAATAGCTAAACCGTGGAACCATCCTAGATGCTCTTCAGTAGATGAATGGATTAAAAAAATGTGGCATATTACTCAGCATTAAAAGAGAATAAAATCATGGCATTTGCAGGTAAATGGATGGCGTTGAAGAATATAATGCTAAGTGAAGTTAGCCAATCCCAAAAAACCAAATGCCAAATGTTTTTTTTTTTTTTGATATAAAGTGAATAACTCATAGTTGGGTAGGGACAGGGAGCATGGGAGAAATAGAYGAACACTAGATAGGGCAGAGGGGTGGGAGGGGAAGGGAGGGGGCAGGGGGTTAGCAAGGATGGTGAAATGTGATGGACATCATTATCCAAAGACACGAATTGGTGTGAACATATTTGATATACAACCAGAGATATGAAAAATTGTGCTCTATATGTGTAATAAGAATTGTAATGCATTCTGCTGTCATTTATTTTAAAATATTAATAAAAAGAGAAAATAAATAAATAAATAAAAATAAAGGTATTATGTTCAACTACAACTAAAAAATAAATATTAAAAAAATCACATAAAACGTTCTGTTTTCACTGGAATTTGTGAATTTGTAAATTTGACTTGAACTTAAATTCTTGCTTCTGAAGCTCATTATAGATTCTTCCTCTTAATGTCAACTGCATTTACTATATAATTTTAATATAAACTCATTATATGTTAACATTATATATAAGTATATTTATGTTTCATATTTTCTATGTATGTCATCCATATTTTTAGATTAACATCAAATTACTATTTAAATCTGTGATTACATAACTCCTTCTGAAGATTTTCAGTCATTAAGAGCAAAAAGAATGTTTCTAATTCACAAATTTTCAAGTATGTGTATTTAGCCTTTGCTCTTACCAGAACATAGGTTTCCATCCCAGGTAAATCCTTTCAAACACTGACAGGTGGCATTCTCTCCCTCTGAAACACACTGGGCATGGCTGCCACATCCCATGGGGGAACAGTCGTCTTCATCTGCAAACAGCAAGAAACCCAGGCAATTATTTCCAGATCTTAAAGGAGAAAATGGACTTTAACATCCTGGAATCTACAAAGCGTTCCAGCACTTTCTTCCACACGTTCTGGTACAGGCTAATCCCCAAATAGAAACATTCTTTTGACCTATAATCTATATCTACAGTAAAGTATCTATAAGCCATATGTTTCTGTTCACATACTCTCAACAAACTTTAGTCTTAAAGAATTATTTGGTATTCAAAGAGCCTTGTGGGAACTTGCTTATATTTTTTAAGAGAATCTGCAAGTTCAAACTATAAAATTGCTAGGAATAAATAGACTGAAATTTCAAAAGGTTTATTATTTATTTAAAAATTCCCAACCGTTATGAAATATAAAGGTATTCAATCTATTCTTCTCCCCAAAGATAGACAGACTAACATGTACCAAATAGATCTGTTCATCAACACAGTAAAGAGATTAAATCATAGAAAGATTTATTGTCAATTTACTAATATCATGTCTCACATATAATAGAATATGTATGTCACAAGGTGTGTTTATTATCAAGATTTATGCAGGGACTTGCAAACCTCCAGGCACTTCTACAAAGTTATGAACCATACAAGGAAATGGCTGTAAATGGATCATTTCATTTCATATTCTATTTAAGTACAAATGCCCCCAGGGGACAGTTACATGTTCAGCCATAAACATGAGCAAGTTTGTCTTCATTTTTTGCCTTTTTTGCTTTAACTGCTTATGTATATAATCATTCTCCAAATGCCACCACCACCCCCTTTTTTGGAGCTGGAGGATCTGACATGCCACAGTAAAATATAAACTATCATCTGTCTATTCACTGCTAAGTTTGCTCATCTGAGTACAGAAGAGATCAAAGAAGCCCCCCCCCCCCCGCCCCTATTTCAAAAAGGTCAAATGATCTAGGCAGGATGGGAGTGCCATGTGTTTGCAGGTACAGGGCAATTTCATTTTCTTAGGTACTTGAGCTAGAAGAATTCTCTCATGGGAACACAAGTTTTCATGCTTGCTTAGTCATCTCTAGTCACTCATGATTCTTAGGATGGGTAAGTTCAGGTTAAATGAGTTAATCACTTGAATTAGCATATATTTGGAAGACTAGCTCCCAAATCAAGGCTGCTCAGAGCATAGAGTGGAGAGTATTCAATTATGCAAGACATTTTAAATCTCTTTCAGAATTATCCTTAAATTAGAATATGATTCAGGGTTTATTTGGTAACTTGCAAACCTCAAGTCAGCTTTGCATAATGAAAAACAATAATTAGAGAAATGCAAATCAAAACTACTCTAAGATTTCCACCCCCCCCAAAAGAAACTACTCTAAGATTTCATCTCACACTAGTCAGAATGGCAGTTATCAAGAATATAAACAACAATAAGTGTTGGAGAGGATGTTGGGGAAAAGGTACATTCATACATTGCTGGTGGGATGCAAATTGGTGCAACCACTTTGGAAAGCAGTATGGAGATTACTAAGAAAACCTGGAATGGAACCACCATTTGACCCAGGTATCCCACTCCTCAGTCTATACTCAAAGGACTTAAAATCAGCATACTACAGGGACACAGCCACATCAATGTTTATAGCAGGTCAATTCACAATAGCTAAACTATGGAAGCAACCTAGATGCCTTTCAATAGATGAATGGATGAAGAAACTGTGGTATATATACACAATGGAATATTACTCAGCATTAAAAGAGAATAAAATTATGGCATTTGTAGATAAATGGATGGAGCTGGAGAATATCATGCTAAGCGAAGTAAGCCAATCCCCAAATCCAAAGGCTGAATATTCTCTCTGATATGTGGACACTGATCCATAATGGGGTGGGGTGGGGATGGGAAAAATGGAGGAACTTTGGGCAAAGAGTAGGGTGGGGAGGGGTCACAGGGCAGAAAAGATAGTGGAATGTGATGAACATTATTACCCTAGGTACATGTATGACTGCACAGATGGTGCGACGCTACATTGTGTACAATCAGAGAAATGAAAAGTTCGGCTGCAATTGTGTACCATGAATCAAAATGCATTCTGCTGTAATATATAAATAATTAAAATAAATAAATAAAGAAAGAAAAGCAATGGATATGTAGTTGTAGAAGGGGGAAGCTAGAGCCAAAGTTCCTTCCATTAAAAATTAGTTCTGGACAGAATGCRTACATTCACCTTCTGCTTTAAAATACACGTGGCAATTTCTGCTAGGTCTATTTTTGTGTAAGGACCAGAATAAAAAGAGATATATTTTTAAAAAATCCTCTGAGAATTTAAAAATATTATACATATTTAAACAAAGATGAAAAAGAAGGAGGTTATCATAACAACCTGACAAAAAATTAGCTTTGTCAGGACTGAGGATGTAGTTCAGAGGTAGAGCACGTGCCTAGTGTGTGATTTCTAGCACCACCAAAAAACAAAAAACCTACCCTCATTACAGTAGAATAGAATCTGGGGCCTGTTAGTAAAAATAAAATTCACTTAAAAGTACCTAGTATGCCTCAGATATGAATGAATGTCAAAAGTAGAGTGATAAAAATGTTAACAGGCTAAGTAAGGCAGRAGTATTACAAGTTCAAGGCTAGCTTCTGCAACTTAGTGAGACCCTATCTCAAAATAAATAAAAAGGGTTGGGAATGTGGCTTAGAGGTAAAGTATCCCAGGATTCAATTCCCAGTACCATTAAAAAAATAAGAATACAGGCAAGGTCTCTGCTTTCTTACATAATAATTGAAGTATTAATATGACAAATGTGATCAAGAACTATACTGTATTCTAAGAGCTAAGAGGCAACCCCAGCTGTTCAGGCAGGAAGGCTTTCTAAGCAAGAGAATATTAATACTGAGACAATGCAGAGAGGACTTAGAGAGGTTAAAAAGAGCACTAAAGGCCCAGGAAACAACAAGGCTATTGTAACTGAAGAGGCCCTAGAAAGCTAAGGACAAAGGGCTGGTGACTGAGGGCACTGAACAGGGCTTGATGGGCCACACTAAGAATTTTAGATTTTGTTCTTGGATTCTAGGGCTAGAATACAAGGCCCTATACTTGGAGTTTTCCTTTTTTTCCCCCTAAAATAGAAAGACACTTTGTTGACTTAAAAACTCTCACTATAAAACATAAGTAAGACCTTTAGCCTAACCCAGATGGAACTAAATTTCACAGAGCAGGACAAAACAGAACACAATCCAAGTATGGAAAGATGAGGTCTTTTCTATCAAGATAATCAATTCCTCTGTTCTGCACTAGGCACTGTGTAATCTTTAGGTATAAAGCCAAACACAGACTATTATATATGTGTACACAGATCTTTTGTCACTTGGTCACTTCCCTATTCCCACCTTATGCCTAATCTACTATCTGTCATTTGTTTTCTTTGAGTCCTTCAAACATAAGTCTTTCAAATTATGCTCTATAAACTTCTAGGGATCCCTAGTGACTTTAAAAGGATATATGTCCTTCTAATATTAATTGATATGGTTTTATTCTATTATATTGCTTATCTCTTCATCAGACGTGACCTTGCACACTAGGACTATATTTAGCTCATGTTGGTATCTCTAGCACTTGGCATAGTGTATGCACAATAAGTTGTTAAATAAATAATTTTCCTAATGTGACCAAGTGTTCTAGGAATTCTTACTTTAGCATAAATTAATTATTTGGTCATAATTTAAAAAACCTTGGGTTAAGTCACTAATTAATATTACTTAGTCTCAGTTTTTGTATCTTTGAAATGATGAATTATAGTAAGAACCAAAATAGAGAACATATTTAAAGTACACAGCAAATGACAATGCTCTATACAAATTTTAGTTATTATTATTACTAAAAATATGTACCTCTTAATATTTTATCAAAAATCACATTGATAAGGTATGGGGCATGAAGTCCTCAGAGCTCTTTATATCTTCTAAGTAGTCTGAAGACCACAAAAGTCAGGGAAATCCTTTCTTAAATATCCTAATGTGGAGTTTTCAAATTTTTTCTTTTAAGGCATAGACAGTTTGTTAAAACAAACTGCTATTCAGTAATATAAACAAATAAAATGTTTCAAAGTCAAGGTGAACTACACTGATTGAAAGAGACAGTAACCTAAAGAGAAGAAAGGGTGGGGCTTGAGAAGCTCCAGGGCTCAGTATGAAAACCACTGGCCTCATGAATAAATACCGAACACAAATACTCAGGTTCCCTAAAGTTGTTACACACAAAACATATTATTTGACTTTTTTTTAAAAAGAGATAGAGAGAGAGAAGAAAGAGAGAGAGAATTTTTTGATATTTATTTTTCAGTTTTTGGTGGACACAACATCTTTATTTTATCTTATGTGGTGCTGAGGATCGAACCCAGCGCCCTGAGCATGCCAGGCGAGCGAGTTACCATTTGAGCCACATCCCCAGCCCATTATTTGACATTTTGATGATAAATGTGCAACACAGAAATAATTCTAACATTTTTTTTGTTTGTTTATGGGCTTTCCTCAGGAACTGAAGCAACCGACTTACATTTGCTTATCAATTGCTCTAACTTGATGCTAGTGGAAGAACACCKAGATGATCAAACACCAACAATACTATGTATGGATGGGGATATTTAACTCTATTCTGTTTTAATTTTGGCCTTTGTTTCCAAGTTATATTTCCTCAAAAAACATTCAGCGCAAAGACTTTCAAAATGTACAGTTCATGTCCAGACTAATGCAGATCTGGACAGGCCATTCAGAAGAGGATTTGAATCCAAAGTTTGGATTCATTAGCTTTGTATAGATTTAACTAATGTTAAGCGACAGAGATAAGTTGGAGTTTCTCATTGGTAGAATGGAAAATTGTCAGAACAAAGCTGTAGAGAATCCATTATTCGTACCTGACACCATTATTTCAGCCACTAGTGTATGCTGAGATTCTGTAATGTTATCTTCCGATGCTCTAGTCCTAGAGAAGGCATCCAATGGTATTACCTGATTACCTAGATCAGCTTCACCACCTGTTGAAGGCCAAAAGATACAACTGATTTAGCTCTTTGAAGGAATATTTAATTTATATTCATGGCTATTCCTTGGTTCCAAGTTCAGACTTGCTCTTTGAGGAAAGAGGATTCAGAAGAAAATGTCCAGGTTTGGTGGCTTAGAAAACCTCACCCACTATCCTACCTTCCCATTTTCCTTCAGTACCCTTGGTGGTTTGGTGGGGGCAGGGAGCCAGTAGAAAAGAAAGACAGGACTCATTGGCAAAAAACAATGAGTAAAATACCAGAATTCTTATGAAAATAATCAGTGCATAACCAAAGACCACCAAAACTAAAGGTAAATTGGAGAGATGATCTCCCTGACTCAACTTCCATAGTCGCCCCTTTTTCCTTTAGCCTGCTTTCATTTTTATATCAGCCTGGTTTTAAAATGTGAAAGGGCATAAAGAAGGGCATACTGAATTCAGTCATGGGATCCACACACCCACCCCCTCYCCAAAGTGGCAGAAATGGATTCCTTAAGATAGCAGTTCTCTACAGTGCATTCCACAGGCCCCCGGGGTCCCACTGCATGGAATCCATAAGGTCAAATCTGGTTTTAAAATAATACTAGGATATAATTTGCCTCTTCTCACTGTGTTCATACTGGTGCTGATATGGCAAAAGCAATGGTGGGCAAAACTGTTGGTTACACAACCTGAATTAAGGTAATGACATCAAATTCCATCGGAAGTTGCACTAACATGCACTTTAAAATTCCTACTACTCAGGAGTCAGATGCAGGAGGATTGCAAGTTTGAAGCCAACATGGGAAACTCAGTGAGATCCTATGTAAAGATGTAGCTCAGTGGCAAAGCATCACTGGGTACAATACTGACTCCACACACACACACAAAAAAAAGTTTCACAAGAAGCTCAGGATGAAGCAATAAGAATTGTTAATTTTTAAAACTCTTGACCATTTTTTGCTCTTGAAAGTATGCTCATTTAATTGTTATAAAAGATTACTATACTAGTAGATAAGAGATTTATTGTTATAATTTTGATAAAGTTGTAAAAATTTTATTTTAATTCTTAATCACAAATATTAAAAAACAGAATTCAYACAAACAAAAAACTCTTTTGAGATTCTCAAAATTTTTTAAGTGTGTAAGATTATAGGTGTGTGCCACCTATAATCCTGAGACTAAGAGGCATAAAACTGTTGTTTTAAGGCAACAAAATAAGAGAAAATTCTAAAAATCCAAAATATTCAGCTCCARTCCATGTATAGATAAATTCATTTATTGTCACTATGTCACTAAGTTATGTTTATATTGTACCTAACAGATACATATGAATTCTCTAAGAAATTTTAATACAATTTAAATTATCTTTGGTATATTTTTGGTAGAAAGGTATCAAGAAATGACTCCAATATTCCTCGATTGTTTGGGCATTACTGAAGGGAGCCAAGTGAATTACATACCATACTTGGTTTTACTCTTCCTTTTTCTTTCTCAAAATCATATTTAGTTTGTAAAAAAGGTGGTCAGGGCTGGGGATGTGGCTCAAGTGCCTGGCATGCGCATGGTACTGGGTTCCATCTTTAGCACCACATAAAAATAAAGATGTGTCCACTGAAAACTAAAAAATAAATATTTAAAAATTCTCTCTCTCTCTGTCTTAAAAAAAAAGGTAAAAAAACGAGGGAGAGAAATGAATTACAGTAGATGGAGTAGAGAGAGAAGATGGGAAGGGAGGGGAGGGGGGATAGTAGAGGATAGGAAAGGTAGCAGAATACAACAGTCACTAGTATGGCAATATGTAAAAACGTGGATGTGTAACCGATGTGATTCTGAAATCTGTATACGGGGTAAAAATGGGAGTTCATAACCCACTTGAATCAAATGTATGAAATATGTCAAGAGCTTTGTAATGTTTTGAACAACCAATAATAAAAAAAAAGAAAAGAAAAGAAAAAAAATTTTTTAAAAAGGTARTCACTGGACATTTTGGCACACACCTATAATCTTAGCAACTCAAGAGGCTGAGGCCAGAGAATCACCGGTTTGAGGCCAGCCTTGGGAACTTAGTGAGACCCTGTCTCAAAATAGTTTTTAAAAATGAAAAGGTCTCCGGGTTGGGGTGTAGCTCAGTGGAAGAGTGCTTGCCTAGCATRTGTGAGGCACTAGGTTCGATCCTCAGCACCACATAAAAATAAATAAATAAAATAAAGGTACTGTGTCCACCTACAACTAAAAATTAAAAAAAAAAAAAATGAAAAGGTCTGGGGATATAGCTCAGTGGTTTAATTCCAAATGCCACCAAAAGATATATAACAAAAAAAAACAAACAAACAAAAAATAGTAGGTACCAAGCCTTTTCAGGCTAGACTTCCCATGCTTATTTAATATTCTGTTATATTTTATAAAGGATTTTGTGGTTTCCTATGATCTGTCATATGATAGGGAGACTGCATATTACTCCTCTAAAATTGAGGACATAAAACTTCTAAACAAAATGTCTCARCATTTTTGTGAGATGATAAAAATGCTGTAAGGCAGGCCCCAAATGGCTGTAGTTAGACTCCCACCCCTAGGCTTCAGGTGTTTTCTGTGTGTAGTCAAGGTCATCACCACTCTAATTCAAAGTATGTACTCAAGTACACAAACATTTGTTTGTGAGCACTGTCGGAGGTAACCTGTAGGCAGTCTACCTTCTTCTTTTTTTGGCCTGCATTTAAAAAAGGCCTGAGGAAATGGCTTGGGGGCAAAATGGAACTGACTAGGGGCTGAAGCTGGAGCTGGGAGCTAGGGGTTGGGGGTTATTGCCATCCCTGAATAAAGTATGTCTAGATCCCAACTGTGTCTTGCATCTTCTTCCATCTGCTGGATCCYGAATGTGTTTCTCAGGATCTGAACTTCTGTACAACAAATGCTGACTTTTATTTCCAAGCCTGTGTCCACTCCACAATAAATAGGAAAGTAAGGTGGGGAGAGCAGTTGGAGCTTAAATTTCACAGTGGAAATATTTTTAAATTGAATTTAGTTGTAATAAGGAACCCAAAACTCAACAGGAGTGGTGGGACCCAAACACACTCTTAGCACTCCTAAAAATGGGAGTTTTAATAATATAAAATATTAAGAATCAGCAAAAGCTGCAGAGGGATGGATATACAGCTATACTCCTAGGCCCAGGTAAGAAAATTTAACTATATAATCTACTATATTACCTGCCAATATCTGATGACCCTTCAGAGCCAGACATGTTTTCCCATCTGGGGCTTTCCTAAAACCTTCATGACATGAGCACTGAGCAGTTCCAAACCTCTCTTGACAAATATGTTCACAGCCCCCATTCTGATGTAAGCAGGGATCTGCACCTAGTGGAGAAGAGGTAAATTCATAGATGAGTTTGTAAAGGATGCTACTGATAGAAATCACAGTCCACAGCTTTTGGGGAGAGCAGCTGAGTGTATCAATAGTGAGTGAATGTCAAGAGTTGTTTCAGAAGAGTTCCCAAAAGGAGCCACTGATTCTAAGGTAAGCTCAGAATGCGATGACCTTGTGAGTATGTATTGAGTACAGCTAGTAATTTTATTCAAAAAGCTCTTTAGTCAGATGTGATTCTTATTTCCTGACTCATAATCTAGTCACACTGACAAAAGACAAATAAGAAAGAAGAGCTACAGTAAGAAGCTAGATGCTTCCTCCATTTGTTTATTCCTCTCCAACATTCACTTACTGGCATGTCAGGGGGTGGGGAAAAGCCCAAGTGTAGGTGGAAGCTTCCACTGCAAGCACCTAAAATGCCTATCCTTGGTGCCTTTTGCCTGAGGGTCTTTGAAATTTGAAGTAAAAGTTACTGGAGAAAAGATGAGGTTGGTGAGATAAAGCACRGATTACCGACACTACCAAATTAGGGATAAAGCTTAAATCACCAAACTTCAAACTTAATTAATTAATTAAAATGAAGTCAAAATCTTAGAAAATCTTAATATTTATGCAGATTAGTGAAAAATGCAAAACCCTCTCCTTCCCCACTGTTGGCTATCAATTAGAATAGTTGCAGATTCCARCCAAGGAAAGACTGCATAACATCTCCAGTGTACCTGGTTTTGCCAATGGATGAACCACAACCAGTGAGGAGGGCTTCAGCATGCTGCCTCGGAGACGTACCCTGTTTTTGCCAGTCCTCTTGTTCACCCTTATTATCGATTGCATAGCCCAATCTGAGAACCACACGTGATCCTCAAACACAGCTACAGCAAATGGATGACCTGGAAGCAATTCAAATTTATTAAATATGCCTTCATGATCTTTTTCAGTGAATATTACAAGACAAATCTTGAAATCTACATGATTCTTACACTAATCAGTTCTTAACTGCAATTGCTCAGCAAGGAGAACCCCCATGATGAGGGAACCACATTTTAGAATGGGAGCCTCGTGGTTGAGGTCCTAGAAAAATCCAGAAATGATTGTCTTAACAGAACCTAGAAGAAAGAGATCAAAGCAGGAAYATTTGATGCTGAACACACCTAACACTCTTTACAAACTAAAGCTATTTTGCTGCTCTTTGCCTCAGGTTCCTTGTCTTTTGAATGGCTGTAATAAGCAGTAGGGCAAAATCACAGGTTGCTGGAAGAATTTTTTCAACTTTGAGGTAACTGAGTGTTTCTTCAAATTCTGTTTCTACCAACATATCTCCCTGAGTTAGGCCCCCACCTCCTTTCCTCTCTCTCCTCTTACCTAATTCTAGACAGTGACTGTGCTCCTGGTGTCATCCTTCCCATCTTCTATAGGGTCTTATTTCATCAGCAATTACCTCTATCTCCTACACAGTCACTCTCCTCACTCCACTAGCTTCTTTCCCTCAGTCTATTTGTATCCTCTCTTCTGTCTTAATTTCCTCACCTCCCTGAACCCTCTATCTTTTGTCTCTTTCCTAAAGAAGGTTTTTTTTTTTTTTTTTTTTTTGAAAGAGTCATGTATTATCTGATGCCTCCATTTTCATGGCACCTAGTTATTGACCATTTTGTGGGCTTCCTTGACCCCTCCTCAAGCAAACTCACCTCCCATACCATTAAAACTGCTTTCACAAGGGATCCAAGTACAAGAAAAGCATTGGAACATTTTCACAAACTATCTTCAGCAGTTAAACATTAAAACTAAGGAAACCCAAATTTGGAAGCTTGAATCATGTCTATTCACACTTCCCAGGCCAATCGTTTTGCAAATGAGCAAGAGATTCTCTGGATTAGAATAAATGTCTCCCTCTATTGGCAGCACACTCAAATGACTTGTCCTGGCAACAGTGAGTCCACTTATCACTGTTGCCCAAGATGATAAGATTCACTTCAGTCTCTAGCCCTTTGTCCCAAATTATCAGAAATACAAACAGCAAGGGAATTTTGTTTCATAGCTATAGTTTTTTGTTTTTGTTTTTGTTTTGTTTTGTACCAGGGATCAAACCCAGAGCACTTGGGGTCTTGCTAAGATGCTGAAGCTGGCTTTGTACTTTCAATMTTCCTGCCTCAGCCTCCCAAACTGCTGGGATTATAGGCATGTGCTACCAGGCTGGGTGCTATAGTTCTTTTTATCATGGCAAAACCACCTTACACAAAATTTACCATTTTAACCATTTCTAAACATACAGTTCAGTTGTATTAAGTATATTAACAAATTGCTGTGGAAACAATCTCCATGACTTTTTCATCTTGTAAAGGTGGAACCTTATACTGATTAAACAACTCTCCATTTCTTTCTCCCTTCTAACCCCTGGTAAACACTTTTCTACTTTCTTTTTTTTTAATATTTATTTTTTAGGTGCAGATGGACACAACACAATGCYTTTATTTTTATGTGGTGCTGAGGATTGAACCCGGGTCCCGCCCGTACTAGGGGARCGCTCTACCGCTGAGTCACAATCCCAGCCCTACTTTTCCACTTTCTGTCTGTATGARTTCAACTACTCTAGATACCTCAAATAAGTGGAACTGTATACAGTATTTCTCTTTGGGGGACTGGTTTATTTCACTTAGCATGATGTCCTCAAGGTATGTCCATCCATGTTGATGCACACATTAGAAATAGCTATAGTGTTTCTACAAATAAGCCATGCTAGACATAATCCTTACTTTTTATCAAAGAGCCATAATTAATTGATTTTTTAAAATTAAAAATGAATTCATTCAATCTTTATGTTAAAAATCCTGAATTGGCTGTTGTAAAACCACCAAATAAATACTAGTAGATGGCTTTATAATGATGGGGACAGTTATTTAGATAATTTAATATAAAATTATTTGATAATAGTCTTCAATAGAAAGTCTCACAATATTTAAAAAAATATTTATTTTTTAGTTATAGGTGGACACAATATCTTTATTTTTATGTGGTGCTGAGGATCGAACCCAGTTTTTTACATTCTAATTAGGAAATTTCAAGTCCCTTTTTACYCTTTATGTCAAAGTAATGATTGTATATTTATTTGGGAAATATTTTAAAAATATTTATGTCTCCTCAACCAGATTCCATGACTTCACAGAAATCCTATTTTTTATTAAGCCCTGTATCTCCACCTTCTATGACAATTGAATAAAAACCTGTTAAGTACATGGGTGGGTAGAGCTAAAACTGTACACAAGTTTATCRTTTATTATAAGGTATGTGTTTCATTAAAAAAAAAACCTTAGAAATACCTAAAAAGTTTAAATCATACTTATCTTACCCTATTTCACATATAACAGAAATCTAAAACATGATTGCCTTTAAAACTAAAGAAAACAGGCAAAATAAATGTTTTATACAGATTTTTAGTTTGTTAATTTCCTAAATGATAGAGACCTTGCTTTTTTTTTTTTTTAATCTCTCCAACCAGTTTTCTAAATCTCCAAAACATCTTCAATACTTTCCTGGCTCTCATCTTCTATATCCTGACTGTTATTATATCCTCTCAGTTTTTTTTTATCCACAATAATTTTTAATTCTCCATTCCACTTTTAAATGACAATGTTTTATACTCAGACTTTCATTAATTGTTGCCTGGAAAACTGATGTAGCCTCCTGTTTGTTTTTTTCCCCCTGTCTAAATTCCAGTCCAATCCCTTACACTGTTATMTAAGTGGTCATCCAGAGATGCCAATCTTGTCTACATCTCCTGCTCAAGAACATTCAAAGCCTTCCTAGTAAATTCAGAATTAAGTTCAGTCACCATGTCCCAGCATTTATAACATACAAAGGCCAATTTTTGCCTTTTGTCACCATCTATTTACTACATGGGCCCAGTTCAAAAACTGTCTTTGCAAATTCCCTGAATCATAATGAATCTCACRCTGCTTATATAGTTTCAAAGACATTTATACTTCTATTTTAAATGCTGTAGTGTTTTAAAGATATTTATGACAACAATGATACCCCATACAAAATGTGAAAACACAACAGTGGACAAACTATATTCATTAATATTTGCACATATTATCAACTGGTATTCATCAGTGTCTGAAAATGATATCATCACTGCTGTGAAATGAAATTTTCTAAAACATGAGAAATGATAATAGATGAACTAAGTTTTTATTCCCAAGTAAGTTCAGAAAAATGGGATATTTTCATGCTGATTTTGAGAAATCTTGGAAAAGAGAAATGATTATACAACACTAACTTTTACCAAACATTGCAATGTTAAAGTGATCCTCATAGCTCATAATTCCCTGAAGAAGTGCCCCTATTCCTTTCTCACTGTATGGTTAAGAGTGTGTGTGTGTGTGTGTGTGTGTGTGTGTGTGTGTGTGTAAACATGCTTTATATTGAACACTCAATCAAGATGAAGAAATCATCCACCCAAAGCCTCACCTACATCGTTCTGGGCAAGTCTTTGGCGTTTGGAACCATCCAGACTGGACATTTCAATCACAGACTGCTTGGCATCACACCAATACAATGTGTCCATTACGTAGTCAATGGTTATTCCACTGGGCTCTACCAGATCTGAACTGGCTATCACCAGCCGGCCAGAGCCTTGAAGGGAAGAACTTTCAATTCGTGGATTAATCCCCATATCAGTCCAGAATAATCTCCTTTAATCAAGAAAGCACACAATAAATGAAATCTGCTTGAAAAGGTTCTTCTACTTTCTTATCATTGAGAATATCAATAAAAATGATGTTTGGACATACTAAAGAGGTACATTGAAGAATGCAGAGAGAATATAACATGGCATCTTGAAAACAAATAATTTTCAGAAGCAAAACAAGTATCTGGTCTATGTAAAACATCTTGGACAAGAAATACTGAATTACAGATCAGATCATTAGATTTAAAAAGGAATTAGTTGAAAAATTGTAGTAATATTATCAAAGTGTGCTCGAGTGAATACTCTGAAATTACTGAAAAGTCATGACTCTTGCTAGCCTGTTGAAAGGCAAGTGACTCACCCAAGGCAGAGATTCGACCAAGAGATTTTATTGGGGGGCTGCCSGAAGGGGAAGAAAAAGAGAGGCAGAGAGCAGAGGAGARGAGGAGGGCAGAGAGAAAGAGAACAGAGAGGAAGAGAGAAGAAAGAAGTGAGAGGAGAGAAAGAAGAGGAAGAGAGGAGGAAGGCAGAGGGCAGAGAACACAGAGGGTATGCTTATAAGTTTCGGCTTAAGAAGGGTTGAGTAGGGGACATGGCAGGTGCTGATTGGCAGGGTGACTCAGGAACTGGAGCGGACACTGTGTCCTACAGGGATTGGTTGAGAAAACCTTTGAATTTGGCGCTCTTGGACTTGGCACCCTTCTGAGAGAAGGGAGAGGGGTCAGAGATTCTGTGATGTTCTCAGGAGACTGAAACATAACTTCAGCGGGGAGTCTCCCACACACCCAACACCTGTTTTCTGTTATGCATGAGTAAAACTATATCATAAAGGAAAAGCATATTTATCTGTTTTCCAGTTTTACAATGCACTGTTTACTCAGCTAATTTTAAGTTCCATAATCAGGTGCTGGACACCTACTTTTTTTTTTTTTTTAAGTCAGTATGGTTCAATATATACTTATTGGCCTGTTTAGAGTTGGTTATATTCGCACTGCTTTAATTTGGCTGACTACAAATAATCCTCAATTACTACAATATATTATCTCCCATGAACCCCTRTGAAATTTCCATCATAAATAAAACTGGGTTGGTTTTTGTCTTTGCTTTTTAACAACCAGGAAGGAATCCTTTATTCTCCTTAATTCTCTAACCCCTAAGCTAAAATGTGATACTAATTCAATAAACAGCATAAAATCTTTTAAATTTTCATAATTTATATTTAATCTTTTCTAAATCTAGAAATGGCCTATCATATGAAATCATCTTATGGCTTCCCTAAATGCAATCCATAAGTCACACAATCCAAATTTTTTTCTGCTCAATAAATAATCATGTAGATTTTTAAAGAGTAAATTAATGGACTTAAGTCTAATTGGTTAATGATGTACAGCCTATTTTTAAAAAAAGAAATTGAATTTGCTTAAAATAAAAAGGCATGTCAACAAAATTACTACATAAGAACAGAAAATCAAAAGATATTAAAAAGATGAAGAATGCTTGCTAGCCACATCATTTCTGAACATTTATAGATCTCATGGATTTTCTTGGCTTCTGATTCCACTGACCACCTGAAGTCTTAAGATAAATTATGGACCCTGACATAACAAATATGAACTGTCATATGACCTATGCAGAAAGGTGCCTTATTGTCTTAAATACCTACTTGGCCACTGGATGAACAGCAATTCCTCGGGGCTGAGATAAGTTCTCCTTAATGATTATTTGACGATGTTTTCCATTTAAGTCACTCCCTTCAATGAGAGATTTCCTAAAATACACATAAAATAAAGGGTTTGTTATTTTCAACTTGATTTTTCAAACGAAAGTTCTCTGCTCCTGGTATGCAAAGATAGACATTCTGAACTATTCCCCCCATCCTCACCCTTTTTTCTCTTTCTTTCTCACACACACACACACACACACACACACACACACACAAATACAAAGTTAGCACCAAGAAGCCCACAAATTCTATTTTTTGAAACATATTCTTAATTAGTATCCCAATATTTATACAAGGAAATTAAAATACAAGGGGACAAGATAAGTAAAAGGGGATTCTCCAAGACAAGAGCCCACCCAGTTTCCAGGATATGAGCTGTCCATCAAGAATCCTAAGAAAAGAAGAATTAATACCAATACTTTTCAAGTTATTTCAGGAAATAGAAAAAGAGGGAGCTCTTCCAAATTCATTCTATGAGGCCAACATCACCCTGATTCTGAAACCAGACAAAGACACCTCAAAGAAAGA